ATACATATTAAAAGTATCAGAAATATTATTTACAAGATATTTTTAATAAATGTAGATGGAAAAAAATGGTGACATAGTCATTGGTAAAAAGAGGAAGAGAGACGACGACACGAGTACAATAGATGAAGTGAAACAAGAAACATCGGAGATTTTAGAAACAACATCACCGAAAGATAAAAAGAAGAAAAAAGAAAAGAAAAAGAAGAAGGAGAAACATGACATAGAAGGCGAAGAGTCCGTAGTAATGGAAGAAGTTACCAGTGGGGTAAGTGGATTTTGTTGTCACAATTACATTTATAATCCAAAAATTTGGACGTTATATAATTATTACAAGATACTTATATATATATGTGTGTGTGTGTGTGTATGTGTGTATGTTATAGGAATCTTTGGCAAAGGAAGAGAAGAAAAAGAAGAAAAAGAAAAAGAAGGATAAAGATCAAGAACTTGTGTTAAGTTAGATTGATATTCAAAAAAAGAAAAATTTTTAGATTAAACTGTTACATAAAAAAATGTACAGTTATTTTTTATTGAATTATACATTATTCTGCTGTATGTTACGAGAGAATGTCCTAGTTTTATATATACACTATTTTCTTGACTTTATAAATGTTTGTATTCCGAAAATCTAAAGGAATACAAACTATTCTGCGATCCTTTAATTTACATTTCCTAATAGTTTTCATATATTATCTATTACATATCTTTTTTTTCAAATGCAAATATATACGTCTAAACTAGTATTCTAACTTATAATCTGAGTTTCGGTAAATTAAGTTCAAAGAATTTATGTATTACTGTGTACATATGTATCTTTTTATCACGCGAAGACAGGAATCATGTATAGAGTATAGTTATGTAACTAATGCATTTTTTATGTTTTCTCTGCAATACGTGAATCTATATCTACCATTATATTAAGAATATAATTAATGATATAGATTATACATTGTATTCATAGATAACTCAGTATCAATAATATCATAATAGATTATAAAATATCTTATTTTCTATGATTTCTTTTTATCGTATGTACTTATTCTATGTCAGATATCAGAATTATTGTGTATCTCATCTTTTGTCTATTAAACATTCACATGTTATAATTAATAACAATGTTTAGTATCAATTTGATTAATTATACCAAAATTTTATAAAGAAAACATTTTTTTTATAAAACCATAGTAAGAGAGAATAGTGTCCATGTATTAATTCGTATTTTTGCTGAATTGTGTCCATTTTGGAAAATAACAAAACGTTATATTTCTATTTTAAAAAGATGTATATTTCCTTTAAATATCATATTGCAAGTGATGTATTGGAAAACAGTTATTTGAATACAACCGTATCGAGCATAGCTCCCAAGCATTGAACAATATTTGTAGCCATTAATGTGTCCACCTTCTCTTCCAGATGCCGTTTCGGATCTTGCTTGCCTACATTCTTTATCGCTAATTGCTCTGGTGTCATCTTTTCCTCCTCTTCCAAGGCCTATGAAAACAAAAATGTTATTATGATAAAAGATACTTAATACATCCAATATGCATATACTATACAAAAGTATAGGTATGTAATAAAGTCTTTAAACTGTGTCTGCTTTGTGCAATGTTTCACCTTATTATAATTCTTCGCGAGTTCAAGCATCTCGGAAACGATATTCTCATTGAGTCGACTATGCTCTGAATATTCGGCAAGAGTAAGACCATCCATCCATGTTTTTTTATGAAGATTCAGCAGCATCTTTTGTTCCAGTTCGTTCTTGCGATAATTAATACTAATACTGTAATAATGCCGATTCAGTCCGTGTATCAATGCTTGAACAGACGGCTTCTGTAGGTGACCTAAATTCGATGTCGTTTGTCTGGGTTCTTGTCCTAAAACCTGCAATTGGTACGACAGAGTTACACAATTGGAAAACATTTATTATTGTTGTCATAAATGTACTCACCATCATGTTTGGATTTATTAGTCTAAATGCATCGATAACAACTTTTCCTTTCACTGATTGTATAGGATCAATGACAACAGCTACCGCTCTTTCACTAAGAGCCTCAAAGGACTGTTGTGTATTAATGTCTACTCCAGACAGCCAGCATCCAAATCCTGGATGGGAATGATACCAGCCAACCACCATTTCTGGCCGACCAGTTTGTTTTAGCATGTCCAACATCTTTGCTTGGAACACTGGATCTACTGCTTCTACACTAACACCCTAAGAGAACATAAAAATAATAAATGACATTTACAAAAGTACTTTATCAATTTTTTCGTTTATATCTTAACATTTACCGTTCCTGTTTGCGGCATAGCAAAGACGTCAATAACGCGAACGGTATAATCATCAACAAATTCACCCAGCATCAAACCCATCACTTCCATCGGTACTCCGGCACGGCCGTGCTTAAGCATTTTCAAGAGAGCCAAGGACGATATGTATACCTATAATAATGCAAAAAAATAAGACAATATGAAGGAAATAAAAAACACAATAATATACTCTGAATAATAGGTACCTGCTCAGCTGTATCCACAACGGGTGCGTCAGAGGGTGGTGGCCCTTGATTTAGGCCTGGCATTCCACCGCCTAATCGCAATAGCCTGTCCATTTTTATGTTATTCAAGTTCTACACTCTGCAAATATTTGAAACACATACAATTACAGTACAAACCTTTGGAAATCCGGTATGTCATATTGTATGTACATACAAGCTAACATTTAGAGGTTAGAAAAAGAACGCTATGTGAATTTTCTGTTATCCCTTGATGATATACAGTTCAAAAGTGCGCGCAACTCTTATCAGATTAAGATATAAGTTGTTCTTACGATAATTCTTGTCTTTAGCAACAAAATTTCCTCGTTATTGCGATAGACCGAACGAGCATTCCTTCTTCGGAGTTACTTGGAGTCACCGATGACAAGTCTCAAATGTGCACAATCACGAGCGCAGTCTGCTGGTAATGCTGGTTGCTCTAAGTGTGCTCAGTGTTGCAAAGCGGCGGGACGAAAACAGGACTGTCAAGTCGTATATTTCATTTTATTGTATATTTTTGTTTTATTTTTTTTAAATCATTTATTGTTTCTCTTGATCCTCTCGATTTATAAGAAACTCGCATGAAAATGCACGCTAATGTTCTTTTCCCGTGACTTTGAGCTTTTATATATATATTTTTTTATGCAAAAAAAAAAAAAAATAAAATTCTTTCCCAAGAAAAATCGACTTTTCTTTTTTCTAAGCGTATATCAATAAATTGATACAAAAGTAAACTTTATTTAAAATATTATTTTATAACTTTTATCGTAAAAGTTTCGAAAACATTTGATAAAGAAACAAGCGAAAATGTCTTTTGTTACATTTAAGTACGAATCTGTCATGACAGAGTCACGTGGTTTGACACACGTGTGATGAATGCGAATAAGTGGTGGAAGTGAAAAATCTTTCAACGTAGTGTACCCTGTAAAGATATTTTTATCTGCTCCGAAAACTTCAACAGCATGAAGGAGGATTACTCGGTGCTTTCGCCAAAATTCGGCGGGGGACCGAAGGGACTAGGTAATCTTTTTATTGCGACGCATTTTTCGCGCCGTGAAATGGCGAAATAACTTCGTCGCCGGTTGCGGAATGTCGAGACCTGTTGATGACAGGTTAGAATTTGTAATCCTGACAGAGAGAGAGAGAGAGAGAGAGAGAGAGAAAGTTAAACGCACCCGGGATCTTTATACTCTTTGTATTCGAAGTCCGAAATTTGCTGACAATAAAAAAATAAGTATTTCTTGTTCAGCAATTCACATATTCGCTGCGGTCTCATGATCTCTCCTTCTTTCGAAGTGTCAGAATATTTTATGTTTATTTCATGTTTATTTCAGGTGATCCTAATGACAAAAGTTTAAGGAAGGTAGAGAAAGATGTGTTGGTACCCAAGTTGATGCGAGAGAGAACCAAATCCGAAAAATGTGTCAACGAGGTCAAAGGTAATTTATTTGGACAAATTACTTGATTCCTAGATAATGCATTATTTATTGTTATAACTGTAAGATTTTGTTTAAGACTTTTGAACCTGAAAGAGAGGGTATAGTCAAATAATATGGATTATTAGACTCGTTTTATTATTTTTAATTAATTACTAGCAGATGAATAAAAAAATTCATATATTTAATTAATTTTATTTTCTTTTAAAATTATAAACTTATTTTTTTAATTCGAAAAACTCAAATTTATTATATTAGCATCTTGGATTCTCAGAAAATCTTCCTGTAATATTCGCCTCCAATTCTTTCTTTTTTTTTCCAAATTAATTTCTTGTAAATACTTATTAAGCATAATCTGCTTAATTATTTTTATTTTTTTAATTTAGTGACCCTCTCCCCCTCATCATGATCAAAATGACAACAAATAACGTTATTTTATTACTTGGCTTTGCGCCAGCGAATCAAATGTCTTCTCTTTCTTAGAATTTCACGATTGCTGTCTCAATTCTGGTCTGCTGAACGTCGTAAAATGTAGGAAAGAAAATGATAAGATGAAGGCCTGCATGGAAAAGTGGTTCTACAATCAAGACTTTATCAAAGAATGCACAGAGCAGTATCTGGAGGAAAGGAGTGAATTTAGAAAGACTGGTATTCCCAAAACGCGAAAAAGCATTAGAATGGAGAGCTCATCAATGTGAACATATAGATAATGAATTGGCAATTGTGCAGAGATATTATCGAGATTTTTACTTAGCTCTTTAGATATAACATCTGTGATTGGTCTACCAACAATTCTACCAGTAAAACAAAGCTTTGAAAATTGCTTAGAGATTGCTTTAATAAAGCTGAAAACGAATTATTGAAAGTTAAAATTATATTGATTTTGATTCTTGCATTGAATTCATATTGTAGTTGAATGTACATGGTAAACTGTTTAAATTGTTTTAAATTGTTGCTTTCTATTGCATCTACTTATTGTATGGCAGTGTAAAATAGTATTCTATATATGTGCCATTGTAGTACGATCGAAACATTCTCAACGAGTACATTCCAGATAGTACAGAGAGTTCAAAAAGAATTCAGTGATATGTTCATCAATTCTGAGCTCATTTTCAAATGCAAAAAGAATTCTTTTTCTGAAAAGAGTTCTTGTTGCATTTGAAAATGAGTTCAGAATTGATGACATATCACTGAATTCTTTTTAAACTCTTTGTGCTATATCTGGGATGATAAATATCTAATAATGGTTTCCTACTTTGTAGGAAAATCAAAGATCTATAATAGAATAAAAAAATAATATAGACATTTGACTAAGAACATAGTTATTTGACAGAATTGGCACATGTTATCTTAAATAAAAACTTGTTTAAAAAATTGAGTCACGCGAATTTAATTCCCATATTCTTGCAGATTTATAACTGCTGACTCCGCTTAAATCGCCAACTTCTCGCATATTGTTCAAACTCAAATTTTGTATTTTTGTGTTAATACATAACAATTTTTTATAACATGTTTTAATTTAATCAGCAATTAACTTAGCAAATAACACTTTCAATATTTTATTAATATAATCACCAATTTTTGTCGCAAGAAAGAAGAAACTAAGGACGAATTACACAGTTAAATAAATTAACAACCTGAGTGAAAATTGTCCACGTTTAAGAAGTCGTTTAACGCAGTCTGTAGAATATTTCGCGATTAGATTTATTCACTATATCGACGATTCACACAATCGGCAGAATTGTTAATTTATTTAACTGTACAATTTGTCCTTATATTCTCTTCTTTCTCGCGACAAAAAATGATAATTTTATCCATCTGCATCGCGAGACTGAGAAGTTTAAAATAAGAAGCGCGAGAGCGCTTTATTTAAAGGATTTCCGTAATAGAGCCTCCGTTATCATCGCTGCGGTCCACGTGGAGACTGTAGATTCGTTTTCTCGGGGAGGGAGCATCGGCCGCTGAACGTCTGGCGTACGTTTTCTCATCCGCCGTACGATCAGCATACCAGAGGCGCGTCTCGTCGGTGTCGGTAGCGTCGTCGCGGCGCGTCCTCCTATAAACGAACGCGGAAGGTGGGGGTGTGTGCTGTATTACGATCTTTCTTGCTGATGTGGAAGTCGCGCGAGCCGTAGCGAGAGAGATTTTATTTCAACTCATCTGTCGTTTCTTCATTCCGACGTAAGAAAGACGTCTCGTAAATTCACCGAGCCTCTGGGTCGACGATCTCTCCCTTTTTCTCTCTTCATTGCACCTTTCCCTTTGTTTTTTCCTTCGTCCCGCTTGTACAATTTCCGTATATAGTCTGCGAGCGCTCATGTTCCTCCAAATCCTAATTGGTTTTTCCATCCTGGCGACGGCGATTCCGAAGCAGGTGATCCCGGATGGCGAGCATCGCATTTTAAACAAGGTTAGAGGGAAACTGTGAATTATCTTTGATAGTTGTTTTCGTATTCTATAAGTGATCAAATAAAAGTCAGTCCTGACATTTAAAGCATTTTTTTTCTATAACAGAAAAATGAAGTTCTATTGGTAGGTAATGTGACATTTGCTTTTTTTTGCAAGGCATTACTGGGTGATGTCTCTTCAACTTGTCCCTTCAGGACGTTATATCATATAGATAGCACAAGATATTTTAAAGCAGATACTAAATATATACTAATTATTTTTCTAATTTCCTTCACAAAATTGAATAAAGTCAAACTACATTCCATCTTTCTTTTTAATTCACAAAAATATATTATCTTTATTAAAAATTTCTTCTTGTATCACTTTTATTAATTAGTTATAGTTGTTAAGAAATAAAAAAAAGAAACGATTCAAAAACTTACTAAGTGTATTATATTCTAGGATGCAGGCAGTAAAGATCACTATGTTCACTCCCAACACAATCCAGCCTATGATCACGAAGCTTTCCTTGGAGAAGAAGCCAAAACCTTTGATCAGCTGACTCCTGAGGAAAGTACGAGGCGATTGGGGATAATTGTTGATAAAATAGATAAGGATAACGATGGCTATGTGACGCAAGAGGAACTTAAAGATTGGATAATGTACACACAGCAACGTTACATCAGGGATGACGTGGAGCGTCAATGGATATCCCACAATCCGATGGGGAAGGAGAAATTGTCTTGGACGGAATACAAAGACATGGTTTACGGTGATATGGAGGAACAAGAGGCGGAAAGACGAGAGAGCGACAAAACGGACGAGTCGTTCTCGTATGTTCAAATGTACAAAAGAGATCGCAGGAGATGGACCACTGCGGATCTGGATGGTGATGATGCTCTGACCAAAGAAGAATTCACTGCCTTTCTTCACGCAGAAGATGCGGAGCACATGAAGGACGTGATAGTGCTGGAAACGATGGAGGATATTGATAAGGATGAAGATGGAAAGATATCTCTTGCAGAATATATTGGTAAGGGGGAATTATCATTGCCCTGATGAACATTTTTTCTAAAATTTTTTATATCAATTAGAACATTTTT